CACGGTCGGTAGCACTGTCCGCTACCCGCCTGGCAAATGCGATGTAGCCAACAAGGCAAGGCTGTACCAGTTTGAAGCCCTGCATAAAATCTACTTTTATGTTTTTTTTCCACGAGTACGGACGCCATGTGGGCGGAGTGCCCAGGTCATCAATGAAGGGAAAGGAAACACAACATGATGAGGGGGAAAAGAACACAAGCAACCCCAAACCAAACAAACACCAACCAAACAAGAACCCCAAACACAAAAGCCAGAGGCCGAATCCCCCTCATCTAAAAGTGTTTCCTCTCTACTTCCCAGTAGTCAACCACAGGATATGCATGCTCAGCTTCATCTTCATCACTATTTTGATCAACCGAAATATGGCCATATTCATAGTGAGTGAAGTGAGAGTAAAAGCTCTTCTCGCGCCGAGCCTGCAAACGCACGTCAGACAGATACCATGCAATATCTTGGAAGTCCAAAACAAGATGAGTACTGGCTGCAACCTTCAACTCCAAAAATTTGATACCAAGAGGCACCGATACCGATGTCAGATAAGCATGTTGAGGTGTCAGCCTGAGTTCAAAGCCTAAGTTCCTCATCTGTGGCAAGCTCATAAGCAAAGGGACTTCTCCTTCTTCAACTATGTCGAACTCTGTATTGTGGATCGTCCACGCACGATCATACATGTAAATCACCAGTTTCTGAGAGCAAGAAGCTTTCTGAGAATTGGCAAAGTAAAACTTGCTCTTGGTAGACTCAAAAGAGTACCATAGTCCACAGTTTGGGTGATTGTCGACATAGTTACAAAAATAATCGACTGCGCGCCTTGATCCCATAGCTCTAGTGCATCCAATGTCCAGGATTGCAATAGTTGGCGGGAAGCGATTCTCAGTCAAAAATGAAATAGCCTGCATCTCTTTCGCTTCTTCCTCAGCGCTCATAAGCGCAAAGCCATCAGGAGCATCTGTGAGCATCTCCTTTGACAAAGAACACCTCACAGGGGCACTCATGCCATCGAAGATCGTCTCACCATTGTTGACATTACGGTCAGCTTCATCTTGACATGAGGTCATCATGCCTGACAGCAAGTTCACCTCACTGTCATGGACTTCAGCTGCTGTTGTCACACAATGTGCAAAGAAACCTTGGTGATTTCCTGATGCTTGTGAAGATCTTGAAGGTGCAGGCAAAGAACGTGGCTGTTGTTGATTTGCACAGTTTGCATCTTGTTTGCCGTCTCCTTTATCTTTTCCTTTTCCTTTCTTGCCTTTCCTCTTGCCTTTTCCTTTTCCTTTGTGGGAAAAACATGCTTCTTCAAGTTGTTGCCAAAAGTCATGGGCATCTTCATGTTCTCCTTGAAGATAGTCATTCATATCTTCGGCAAGAATAGCATCATATGCTACTTGATTTGACTTCCAAGTGTCCTCATAAGGATTCTCTTCAAAATACTCATCTGGATAAGTTGTCGATTGCTCATCAGCATAATGGCCTTTACCTCGTCTCTTTCCTTTTCCTTTTCCACGAGGTCTGAAAAATCTGCGGCCTGATCTTCCTTTTCCTTTTCTTCTACCTTTTCCTTTGCCTTTTCTGGCTCTTCTTCCTTGGAATCTCCTCTGGAACCAAGAGAAATTCTGTTCATCATACACCCAAAAGACATCGTCCAGGGCATCAAGGAATCCTTCTGTTCCATCTTCTTCATCTTCGGCCCAATAGCCATATGTACCATCGAGTTCTCCTTCGTCTAGGCGCTAACTGATTGCCTGGATGTGGAGCCGCCCCAAGTTATGTCAATGAGCAACTTGGATGTCCATCAGCAGGGAGTGTCAAGAACCCGTTGGACACCTGTTTGTTCCTTACACAGGAGTTTGCACGCTTGCGAGATCAGTGTGCAGCATTCGCAGATCTCCAAATGATGGAGGTAGACCAGATCATGGTCATGATGAGGTGCTTACCGCAGGAAATTCACAGACACCTTGCGTTCCATGGGAAGTCTTCAACCCTACGAGAGTTGATGGAGTCACTGGAGTTCTATGAACAGCAATCGAAAGCACTCGACTTTTCCAGAGACAGTCACAAAGGAAATCCTGTTGAGTATGACCGACCACCCAAGGGGAACCCCACAGGAGGGAAGGATCGAACACCAAAGGGCGAAGGCAAAGGTAAGGCCCCATTTGATCCGAAGAAGAAAGGAAACCCTAAAGGTAGCAAGCCTAAAGGAGGCAAAGGAGAACCTAAGGGCGGAAAAGGACCGAAAGGCGGGAAACCGAAAGGAGCACGTGCCAGTGTAGGAGAGGAAGAAGAAGAAGATATTCTCGGAATGGGTTGTGCGCTAGACATGACAGTACCACCCGATGTCCTACTGAACCAGCTTCACAGTTATGGCAACCGACTGACAACGTCAAGTGTCGCGGACACCGACGCCACTGATCCACACTTCTTGGTGGACAGTGGGGCAAGCATCCACCTGATCAGCCAAAGTTTAGTGGATGAGGGATACCTACGGATTTGCCAGGAGTGGACCGTCAACGAACGGTGCACCACAGCCAGCGGACAGGAAATGATCCTAGTTCGGTGTGTCGAAGCAGAGTTCAGCACGTATGCTCTCAAAAGTAGGCGTGTTAGCTTTTTAGAATGCGATGGAGCCGCCGCGTCGTCGCCTGATGCTGCTTCGTCTGCTGCTGCTTCGTCGAGAGCCGCCGCGCCGTCGCCCGCAGCACCTGCTAGCTCAAGCCTGTCACCAGTGTCGCGCAGCATTTGCGCTGGCAGCCAACTGCAGAGGCCACAGAAGCTCAGAGTCACAGCGCTGATAGGATGCGGACAAGTTAGCTTGTTGAGTGTTGCACTTCTTGCCAGTAAAGGTTGGACGTTTTCATGTTCACCTGGCAAGAGCGGTTCCCGAACCTCCAGAGAGGTAGATAAACCGGCGAAGCCACCATGTTTGTCCCTCTCACATTTCGGAGGTCACGACCAGGTTCCAAACAGACCTAGGAGTAGTAGAACTCATCTTGACATTTTTCTTTGGTGCAACGTTCCTTGGATCTCAATTGTCCACCCAGGAGCAATCGACATTGACATGTCATCGTCACTCCGTTCGTTGCAGTACACATCCGATGTTGACTCCAGTTCGCACCGTGTTGTTCGTTATTCCACCATGCGTGAAGCAGTTCAAGATTCGGTCTTGCATGTTGCAGAGCGTGACGGTTCAAGTTCGGTGCACGAGCGCATTGACTGTGCGGACCTGTCCAGCCCAGGTTTCGTCGAGTGGAGCATGCCTTCGGATGCTTGGGTCGACACTACGGAATTGAGCGGAGAGAAGAAGAAAGAACAGAGTCCGGACACGGTCATGGAAGAACCAACGGAACCAGCGCCAGGCACTGTGATCGCTCAAGTCGGGCAACAGGATGCGGAAAAGGATCCATCGGAACCGAGGGAAGATCCCACACCAAGAGAAGAGACACGGAAAGTTGTCCTTGTCACGATGGAACCCGAGGAGAGTACCGAAGTGATCGTGAAACCTCCAGAACAGGAACCCGAGAGGAGTACAGAAGCTACCGTGAAGCCACCGGAACCAGTAGAAAAGGAAAAGGGATTGGAGACGGAGAAAAGGGAATCCGAAACTCCCAAGGATCTGCCAGAGCCCGAGATCCCAGAGAAGCCTTTTGTCGGGGAAGAGAAAGCTCAGGAGGCAACGTCCGAGCAGGAAGTGACATTTCGAATGAAAGCCTGGTCAAATTGGCTTCATCGACAAGATCAGAAAGACGAGGAGAAACGGGTCAGAAATCGAGCCAGGCAGCGAGCGCTGAGACAGCAGCGCCGGTCGGATCGGGTTGCAGGCCTTCAACAGGCAGTTCGAAAGGGACCATCAGCGCGACGGTCGTGGACTGTGTCAAAGGAAGACCCAGAGCCGAGAGGATCGATCAGGAGAGTGTTGAAACAGCACACCAAAGCCCCTCGGAAGGAGCGGACTGTGAAGTTGCGCCTGGTCGAACGCGAAGTCCAAGCCTCCCGGGTTACCGCGAAGGGAGAGTACATGGTGCAGAACAAGCACCGAGCTTGGATCGCGCCAAAGGCACGTCCGCAGCCGAAAGCGTCTGGTTCGCGTGTGAAAAAGGAGTTCATCGAGATCAAGCCCCAAAGGGGGGTCACGATGGTGAGCTTGACAGGTTCAGAAGCATCGGATGTAGGGGATATGGAGGAAGTACCGGAAAGTGCTCCAGCCCCGAGCGAAGCGCCGAGGAGCCGAATGTCATCGGGCCTGACTGGAGCAGAACGGGTCACGAGCGAGACCATCATCAGGATTGGCACCACGCCGGAGGGAGAAGTTGTCGCGAAGAAGCAAGAGATCAAACCTGGGACTGCTTTCTTTATGAAGCGGAGACCTCAAGATAAGGAGAAAGTGAAGTTCACGTCCCAGGTCAGGTCACTGTTGAGGCCAGCCGGCAACGCAGCTCTCAGCGTGACCGATGCCAGTACTTCCGAATGGATGTCGGAGACAGCCGATCCCCCAGTCCTCGAGCTGACAGAGGAGAACCTGAAGAGATTGGACGAATCGGTCAAGCAGCGGAGATCGCCTTCGATCTTACCGATCACCCAAAGCATCCGAGATTGAAAAAATTCAATCGCTATTGATTTTTTCAATCGAAGATTGAATTTGTGCAAAATTCAATCGAATTTTTGTTTTTTCAATCGAATTATGCTTTTGAAATTCAATCGAAATTGGTTTTATAATTCAATCGTTTTTGTCATGGTTTTCTACTTGTTTGTGTCATTTTTGGGCATGCATGAGGTCTTCTCTGGGGCTGTCAAGCCCACAAGTGCAACTCTAGGGCTGTCCACCCCACAAGCTTGTACTTATGGAAACAAGTTAAGGCTGTCCAGCCTTCATGGGCTGTCCAGCCCACAAGCTCAAAACTAGGGCTGTCCAGCCCACATAACAAATAGTTATAAGTCAGGGCTGTCCAGCCTAGTCTCACCACATGGCAATCCAACTTGCAATGCAGCAAGGCAATGCTTTCTCACTCTTCTGCAGAGTCGATGATGTCCAGATTTCTGTACCCCTTGAGGAGTAGATGAAAGACCAGCCTGAATTTCATCAGCACCTTTCCAGTCACTTTGTGAGCTGGTGTGCCCCAAGTGCAGCTGGATGATATCTGCTTTATGATGCCCATAAAGCTCTCTGAGCCATAGCGCCATGTGCTGGCTGGATGGATATGATGGGCTTGTGCCAAAAGGTGATTCAATTTGTGGTGCTTCTGCACCAGAGAATATCGATGCAAACCCTTTTCAAAGGCATCATTGGCAAGCCATGAGTAGTGTGCAAGGAGAACTTGTCCTGCCCTTTCCAGGGCAATACCACATTCTGGAGACCACTCTTTCCAATTCTTGCCCAGCAGTGTGTAGATTCTCTGCAACTCCTCCAGCATTGCAACTCTGTGTTGCCCTGCCCTGTCATCTGCATGGAGCTTACTCAGCTCCAAAGCCACTGGGGCGAAGTGTCGAATCTTATTCCCCTTGATATGCTTGAGCACAGGGTACTCCTCTGCAGATGATGCCACATCATTGAGGGTCAGGTACTTGATTCTTTTGGCAGCTTCTATGCCCAACTTGCCATACATCTCAGCAATCTTCTTGTTCAGAAGCTGCATCTTGGCTTCTCCTGGGTTTTCAGAGTGACTAGGGCCTCGGGCTGTCCAGCCCATAGATCTAGCCAGGGCTGTCCAGCCCACATGCATCATGGGAGGCTGTCCAGCCTACATGCAACTAGGGCTGTCCAGCCCAAAGCAAAGAAGGTGGCCAAGCTTCTAGAGGTCCCTCCAAGTTTGTCCATGATGTCAATGAGGACGCTCCCATGCAGGTAAGCAGCAACACCCAGGTCAAGAACATGTAAATGTCCAGTTTGATTGCCAGAGCTGAGCAAGCTGGCACCTTGAAGAGTGGGTGGGCGCCATATTCCTTTTGCAGGAATTTTGGGGAGAGGATGGAGGACCTCCAGGCAGCGGTTGGCCTGCAGTCTGTAAAAGGCCTTTCACTGCCTGTCTTCTTCTGGTCTGCCAAGCAGTATGCACAAATCATATTGCTTGAGCTGTATGGGAAGCCAAATTGTGATGCGAACCATTCCAGGTCACCAGTGATTGCCCACAAAACTCCCCTTCTCAGGGGTCTGCCCTTCACTCCATCCATGGGCACTCCGGAATGGTTCTTCTTTGGTGCTTTGCCTTCATAGAGCGAAGTGAAGGACCAAGCCATGCATTCCATGATGGTGTTGAATGTTTCCTTGCTGACTGCTGCTTTTGGTATTGCAGCTAGAAGGAGCTGGCTGTCTCCCACAGGCATTGATGTCAAAAGGCATCTAAAGGAAATGACTTCTATGGAATCAGTCTCTGTGAAGGGTGCTCCATCACCATGCAAACACCATGGAATGGGGAGACTTTCTGGTCGATCAAAGTCCAATGATCTCCAGAGCTGTTGTGTCATCTGAGGGTTCCTTGGTTAAAGGTCTGTGCAACCAAGAAATCATCAAGGCTGCCAGCAAACAAAATAGAAATATTGTGGAATTTGTCCTAGGTTCTTTTTCTGGCTCTCCCAGAAAAGGATGAGGTCATTGTCAGCGCATGTCAGATTGACCAACAATTCCCCCTGCTGCAGCGATTCCACCCATTGGTGGGGCAAAAGAACAAAACAATCACATTCTGTGAGGCACTTCTCACAATCCACTTTCATGGCCATCTGGCATGTGAGCTTATATGGGGCAGGTGCTTGCAGATGGGTGAAGCATTTCCTGAGCAAATCTCTGTGAACATTCCCTGACTGCTGGCCCATGGCGCCAAGGCCCTGAAGCTGAAGCATCTCTGGTGTGCTTGCACCACTCTTCACAGCAGCATCAGCCAAATGTTGGAGTTCAATGGCACTTATTGTGCCCAGTGCAAATTTCTGCACCAGAAGAACCCACAAGGGGCAGGGCTCTGACATATCCCTAGCTTGAGGCTATTGTGCCACCTGGTGCTGCGGCCTTTTGCCTACAACAACATAAGGCTACAGGGCTGTCCAGCCCACCCTGCAGAACTGCCAACCCATCACCACAAGAAAGGCTGTCCAGCCTGTGTCCAGCTACATACTCAAAAAGGTTGTCAGCAAAAAGGCTGTCCAGCCTTTGCAATCATTTTCATTCCTGGGCAGCTGTCCAGCTGAGTGCAAAATCCATGTGCTCTCCCAGCACATTGGTGCCTAGCCTAGGCTGGTGCTTAATCCTCATCAGAGCCTGCCTCAGACTCCTTCTTGGCCTTCTTTTTGGGATGGTTCTTCTTGCAGGCTTGCACAGCCTTCAAGGATGCCACCAAAGCATTCTTGGCTGCTTCCTTTTTGGATCCAGCAGTCAGGGCTTGCTCCACTTGCTTGATGGCATCCCCTGCCAGCTTCACCATGGCCACAGCCTGCTTGTAGTCTTGGCTTTTCTTGTCATCAGCATCAACCATGGCTGCTTGGAAGAAGCTTTGCTCTTTGCAAAGCTCTGCTTTGAAAGCCAAAAGCTTCTTGGACAGTTCCTGCTTTGTGGTGGCAGAGGACACCTGGCTTGTCAGCTCCCATTTGTTTTTCTTCTCATTCTTTGGGTTGTCTTCTGGATCTTTGTGGCCCTTGTTTTTGTTGGAGCCAAAGAATTTCTTGAGGTCTGGGGATGCAACATCATCCTCTTCTCCCACCACTTCCATCCCCCAGTTGCCTTCAGCCTTGATGTCATCCAAAGTAAGGTTCTCATAGTCTGCCAGGGTGTCCTCTTTGGTGGCCTTGCTGGAGGAAGCCTTTAGCCGAGTGTTCCTGATCTTGGTAGCTTCCTGCTTGTATTCCTCAGCATGCACAGCAAACTCCATGTACTTTGTGTCCTGTGGGCATTTTCTCCATTTGAGGGTGCCCCTTTTCAGCATGCCCAGGGCTTGCTCTTTACCCAGGTCATCACAAGTCTTCTTCCAAGACCTCCACTTGTACCCTTCCTTGGACACATTTTTCAGCTCAAAGGCAGTCACTGCCTGCCTGTAGTGTTTTTGCAGCTGGCCACCATCTTTCAACCAGGCCCTGAGCAGCATTTGCTTCTTGGCATTGCTGCCAGGCCCACTTGTGCTCTGGGCATACTTCTGGTCTTCACCTTCCATTTCTCTGTTCACCTTGAACCTCTTCCACAGAGACATCATGGTGAGGTTGTCTAGCCCACCAAGCTTGTTTTTCATTTTGTCTTCATCAAGTCCCTTCAGCTCAGCCATCAGGCTTTCAATTTGGTCATGCCTCTTGACCTGTGCCTCTGTGAGGTCACCCTCAGTGCCTTCCACTTCTTCGACTGGCTGGCTAGTCCTTTTTTTTCCCGAATGCGTAGCGAAGGGTTCTCGTTTAACTCTTGGGGGTCTGGGGGTGGAGCCTTGTTCGCGACCCGTTGTTTCTATGTTCGCAACCGTCCGCAACCGTCCGCAACCGTTCGCAACCGTCCGCGGTAGAGCGCTAAGGCGCTGCCATTGGGGGAAGCTTTTGCAAGTGACCAGGCATGGATGTGTCACATGTCAGTTTGCGACGCTATTCCATTGTGATTTGCGTGAAAATGACATGTCGCGCAAGAAACGTGATGCATTTCGCTGCACAGGCGCAGCGTTTTGTGAGATCCTCAGTTTGCTACGCAGTTCCATTGGGATTAGCGTTTGGAGAGTCGTGTTTTTGGGGTGTTGGATGTGGCCGTGCCATTGGGATTTGCGTTTCAGGGTGTGGCATCGAAGCTCTGTTTTCGTGACCAGTCTCAGCTGAAATGGCGATTTTGGTGGATGGGAGTGTGCTCAGAATGGGTCGAAATCATTCCAAACGTGTGGTGCGGTGCAAATTTTGTTGAAGCTGACATGAGATGATATTGCCACTTTTCGTGGCAGGCGCAGTACTTTTTGTGGGTTTTGAGGAGGCGTGGAAGTGCGATTCTCGTGGCAGGCGCAGGGAATGGTGAGGTTGCGAGGTGTGACGGAGGTGACATTTCGTGGCAGGCGCAGTACTTTGCGCGCGTTAGACGTGTGGATGCGGAAAGATTCGTGGCAGGCGCAGGGAATCGTGAGGTTGTGAGTTGTGGTAGAGGTGAATGTCGCTGTACATTGGGATTGGCGTGTGAGCGGATGTTGTTTGGAGGGGCTGGAATCGCGAAACTGCTTGGCAGGGCTGCGTGATGTGTGTGCTCCGATGGGTGTTTCCGCTGGACTTTTGGAGGAAGTCTCGTGCGAAACGTTCGTTTTGCAGACTTTGACATGTGAGTTTTTGAGGAAGTCTCGTACGAAACGCTCGTTTTGGGGACTTGACATGTGACTTTTGGAGCAAGTCTCGTACGAAACGCTCGTTTTTGAGACTTGACGTGTGACTTTTGGAGGAAGTCTCGTACGAAACGCTCGTTTTTGAGACTTGACGCGTGACTTTTGGAGGAAGTCTCGTACGAAACGCTCGTCTTGCAGCCTCGCAGCGTGACTTTTGGAGGAAGTCTCGTACGAAGAGTGTGCCCTACAGGAATGTCCCACAAGAGTGTCCTACAAGAGTGTCCCACAAGAGTGTCCTACAAGAGTATCCCACAAGAGTTTCCCACAAGAGTGTCCCACAAGAGTCTCCTACAAGAGTGTCCCGCAAGAGTGTCCCACAAGAGTGTCCCGTATGAGTGTCCCACAAGAGTGTCCCGCATGTCCCACAAGAGTGTCCTACAAGAGTGTCCCACAAGAGTGTCCCGTATGAGTGTCCCACAAGAGTGTCCCACAAGAGTGTCCCACAAGTGTGTCCCACAAGAGTGTCCCACAAGAGTGTCCTACAAGAGTGTCCCGTAAGAGTGTCTCATAAGAGTGTCCCACAAGAGTGTCCTGCAACCATGTCCCACAAGAGTGTCTCACAAGAGTTAAGAGTGTCCCACAAGAGTGTCCTATAAGAGTGTCCCACAAGAGTATCCCACAAGAGTGCCCTACAAGAGTG